TCTAGGACACTCCCAGAGATGTCTATGTCCCTGCTTGTTGCCACCCTGTGCTGCCAGGATCCTTCGCAGTTTCTGGGTTTGTATTTCACCTCAGCCTTAGCAGGATGTGTTGAAGGAGGGAGCAGCAGGCAGAATGGCGCGGCGAAATGGGAGCCAGCCGCTCAGTCAAGCGCCACCGAGAGCTGTTTATCCGTGGAATTAACCTTTTGTTCAGCATTTGCTTTGTGGCGGGCTTGGGCTGTGCTTTTGAATTCACATCCTGCCCGGCGTCTCCAAGAGGCGGCCGGGTTCTGCTGAGTCAGCTCTTCACACGCCTGGCAGCAGTGGCTCCGAGCAACTGGCAGCCAGGAAAACTTGCAGCACCCCCTCTAGCAGTCACTTCCGGCTCCCTGGAGATTTATGGCCGTGGCAGATGGGCCCAGGTGGACTCAAGTGAGACTCTCAGACAGGCCCAGCTCCTCTGCCTGCTGAAATTGTGTCTAGACAAGAAGGAAGGCTCGTGCGCCTCCTCAATTCACTTTGAAACAGCTCAAAAGTGCGAAAGGAATTTATAGCCACAGGAAGGTCTGGAGCATGCAAGCAAGACACCAGGGTTGCTCTGGAGGAAAGGAGCAAAAGGAGGAAGGAAAAGAGGGAAGGAGGAAGGGAAGGAAGGAGAGGACACTGAACAGAGCGGGCAAATGCTCAATTAGCCCAGACACCATTCTTCCCACCAGCCTGTCTCCCAGGTGGTATGTACACTGATGCTCAGGCAGATTGTTTACCATGGTTCAACTCAAAGAGAAAACAACACACCTTCACGTGTCAGTCTGGAGAGGGTGAGTTGATGCTGGGCATAGTCTCAGTGGAGGTGGTAGGAGCAGTTGGTGGTTTTGATAGGTTTGATAGAAAACAGATCAAAGTGCCTTGCCTCGGCTCTGGTTGAAGAAGTAGGTGGCCAGGAGCCCATCTTCCTGGTACGTTGCTTTCACCTTTCCCCCATAGTGGGCCCACCTAGAGAAAGAACCCTGAGAAGGGAGAACTGGTTGAGTTAGTTTGAACCCTGGTAGCAGCGTCTTCCTCACATGCTAGGAGAGCTGTGTTCCCGGGTATATGACCAAAGAAGGCTGCTGTGATCAGAGGAGAAGCAGAAGGAAGCAAGCTTGGGGCTGGCGCCCTCCTGGTGGCAAATACACAAACCCAAGCTGCAGCATGCTGCATGTGACCAACACTTCCTGGAACTGTCCCAGGCCCCAGAATCAGATACCCAGGCTTCATCTGGATGCCATGTGTCTGGCATCTTAGAGATTTCACTTTACATCAAAAATACAAACAGAACACTAAAGGGAATGCTGAGCTCATTCGGCATTTTAATGCTTCTTGAAGAAGGTTTACTTGTGACTTACAGGTTTTTTAGAAAAACCACAAAAGTACAAGAAAACAAAGTTAGATAATCAATCAGCTGTGTGTTCTCCAGGAGGCTCAACAGGATAAATGTGACATTTGGCAAGGTACATTTTAGTGGAGAAATTGATGAGAGACTAAGATATAATTTGAAAACACGAAAAAAATGTGAGCAAAACATTATTGAAAAGTTTCTGCACCCCAATATGCCTCTCTACCGAAGCAACAATCCAAATCAGACCAAATCAACCCAGATTAGAAAAAAGTCCAGGTTTAATGGATAAAACACTCCTGGATGATTTCCCAGTCCCCTAGAGAGCAGACGAGAAAGGAAGACCGGAAAACCACAAGTCTGTTTTCTGGGGGGCAGTTTAAATGCCCTGTGGGAGTGGTCTTGAGCATCTCTGGGGAGGGATCATTATTGGCAGGCTTTCTAGATATGTCAGGGTTTGGAGAGAGATGGGGGAGGGGGCTTGGGGTGGAGCTTCCGCCTGAACATTCTAGACTCTTTGGATATATGGATGCTAGGGGCTGGGGTTAATCTTCCACCCAGAACAGTTGTTTGGGAAAACCATCCAGTCTAGAAATTTAATACCAAATATCGGCATCCCAAAAGACCCTGGTTTGACAGTCTGGTAGGGATTATGAAGAAAACCCAAAGAGCATTTGAAATAAAAGCTACAGAAAGGACTGCTGCCGTGGTCCAGGGAAGCAGTCCCAGAACTCCAGAGAGCCAGAACTTATCACCCATGAAGTTCGGGTAATGTAAAGGACAGCCTGGGCCGGGGAACATTCCGGAAGGGTATCTGAGGGTGAGGAAAGGGAAGGCTCTTCAGTGAACTCCACAAGGCAGTCAGCGGTGAGGGGAAGAAGGCCAGAGAGTGCTGCCAGTGGCTGTGATGTGGCTGCAGGGCTGAGGAAGCAGCTCTCCCAACCTGCTATTACAGCAGCTGTGGTCGGGGCCCATGGTGACAGCTCAGAGCTGGCATGGAACGCAAGATGCTGGCCCCCGTTGTTAGGGTTAGTGGGAATAGACAGTTCTCCAAAGTCCTGGACCACGATACACCCTGCAAGCTCACTCTAGCATCCTAACTGTCCGAAATTCTTGCTGCTCAGATGGCTGACTCCGTACCTTCTTGTCTATGGCTAGAATGTTGCTTAAAAGTCTTCACTTCCCTATAGGCTTACATGAAGTGAAACATGCAGATCTTACACGCTTATTCAAGTTTAGCAAATGAATACACACCCGTGTGACCCATCACCTAGCCAGAAACAGAACATTTCTACCACTCTAGAAGGTTTTTTTCACGGCCATTCCCAGTGTCCCTCTGTTTGCATGTAGCATGAAGCAGCTGCCAGCCCCATTTCTGATCCCCAGGTTGGATTTGTTTCTCTACAATGTCATACACATGGAATGATGACATGGGTCCTCTTTTGAGCCTGGTTTCCTTTGCTTGGTTTGTTCCTGTGAGCTGTGTTATTGCATTATTGAATGCTCCAATAGTTTGTTCTTCTTTTCTTTGGTTTGAATATTATTCCATCGGATGTATAAGTCACAATTTGCTGTTGATTCCCGCACCATTGCTTGACATCTGGGATGCATTCCCTGGGGAGGCCAATGCAAATTCACCTGATTTTATTCTTCCGGGGGAAACAGCTGTTAGTGGGATTGCTGGGTGGTGGGACAGAGCTATGTTAAAATTCCATATAGATTTCCAGTGTGGTGGTTCAGAATTTCACATTTGAAGTAGGAATCTAAATATGGCTCCTGTGTCTCAGGCACATAAACACCTATACAATCAGGAAGGCAGAGGCTGAGACAGTGCCCTACAGTGCAGGGGCATAGTGGGAGCTGTGACAACTGAAATAGCTGTCAGTTCCTCCTCTGTTGAGTAAACCACTTGAACAGATGCTGTCTAGAATGTTCCTAGCTCCACCATGACACAGATCCTTCCTCCCATTTTTAGTCAAGAAAACATTAGTGATTATCCTCCTTAATAATTGTTACTTTGTAACTTATGAATGTAGTTACTTGTTGAGTCATCTAACAGTTTCAGGCCCTGACTCTCATATAACACTTTGTGCTGGTTAGTTTTATGTCAACTTGACACCAGATAGAGCGGTTTGAGAAGAAAGACCCTCAACTGAGAAACTCTTCCTTCCCATCCGATTAGCTTGTGGGCAAGCCTTGATTTTTCTTGGTTAATGAGTGATGCAGGAGGGTCCAGCTCACTGTGGGCAGCTCCACCCTTGTGCTAATGGTCCTGGATGCTATAAGAAAGCCCCCGGGAAGTAAGCCAATAAGCAGCTGGTGTGGAATAATCTTTTTGTAGAATGTGAAGGTGTGTCTTTGCTAAGGTGCCTTCTGACTGGTTTAATAAAAGAGCTGACTGGCCAAAAGCTAGACAGGTAGAAGTTAGGCAGGACTTGCAGACACAAAGAGGTCATGGGAAGAGGGTGGAGCCACTAGCCAGATGCAGGGGAAGCAGGAGTGGAATATGTCATGCTGACAAAAGGCACCCCATGTGGTAGAGCATAGATAGGAAATATGGGTTAATTTAAGTTGTAAGAGCTAGTCAGTAATAAGCCTAATCTATTGGCCATGCATTTATAATGAATAAGTCTCTATGTGGTTATCTACAGACCAGTGGTCTGGCAAAAACTTTAACTACAAGCAGAATTTCTCCATGGTCTCTGCTTTAGTTCCTGACTCCAGGCTCCTGCTTTGAGTTCCTTCCCTAATTTCTCTCACCAATAGAGTGCAAGCTGAGAGCTGTAATCTGAAGTAGACCTTTTCTTCCCCGAGTTGCATTTGGTGATAGTGTTTTATCATATCACAGAGACCCTCACTAAGTTTAACCAACAAGGACGCATTATTGGCTTGGTCCAGAGGCCAAGAAGAGAAACCCCCATTCCAGTGGAACTTCCTTATGAAGAAGGGATCTTCTGTCCCAGAAGATTCTGGAAAACTCCCTTTCATGTCTCACCCGTCAATATTAAATTATCTATATCATTCTATATAATACCCTTTCCCAGACAACCTCTATGGTCAGGATAGTGCCCTGAGATTACTGGTATAGAGCTGGAGTCCTAGGTGGTCAATAATAGCTAGAGTCCTGGGGAATCAGTGAGTGGAGTCTGGCAGTGGAGAGACTGGGGGGCAGGAGGTTAATGATCTATTACACTCACTAGTTTTGCTAATAAGAACAAGATGAAGCCATTTCCCCCAAAGCACGGCATGGAGATTGACCAAGCAGATCTTTCAAAGTGAAGAGGGACAGATATTTGACAGACAACTAGACCCTGAAGTCTTCTTCACAGGTAGGGAACTTCGTCACGCACTCTTTACAGAGACCCACAGAACCTTAGGGGAACACCCAGAGGCCAGGGCCGACGGCAGTTTGGGAACTGAGGCAGGTTGAGTGTATCCTAAACACCTTTCGGCTTTTCCTATCCATGACAGTCTTTTCCACCTCCTCTGTACTGAGGCTGGTCTGGCTCTGACCCACAGAATGTGGCAAAAGCAACCCTGCAGATGCTGTCCAATGTAGCTCTAAGAGGTCCTGAGCACCTTCCTGACCCTCTTGCATCACCCCACACCGTATCAGGAGACTTACCTGAACGATAAGGGATCACACAGAGCTGACTGCCAGCACCAACGTACCAACTGTGCCTATGAGCAATCCTCGCTCCTCCTCGGCCAGTCAAGTTGACACATGACTGTGGCCCCATGAGTGACTCAACAGCACTCGGCTGAGCACAGCCAATCAACGGAGCCGTGAAGGCAGAAGAAGTCATTGTTTAAACATTACCTTTGGGTAATTGGTTTTAGAATAATAGGCGGATGAGCCAGGAGAACCTTTGAAAAGTCTTCCAGTCTCTCCAGATTGTATATCCTAAAATAGTTTTTGTCAACCCGACACAAACTAGAGTCATATAGAACCTCACTGGAGAAAATGCTTCCATCAGATTGGCCTGTAGGCGAGTCTGGGGGATTTCTCGATTGATGATTAATAAGGGTGAGCCCAGCCCACCCTACGCAGTGTCAGCCCTGCTCGGGTGGTCCTGTGAGCTATAATGAAGATGTCCAAAAGCGAGCTCTAGGCACACTCACTGTTACCTGTGATTTGAAGCAGCCTGTTCCATTTTTTTCTGAAACTTGTACTAGAATGTTGTTCAGTTATAAACAAAGATTCTGCCTCTCGGATGCTTCCATACCTTGTCATTGGTCCCTCGTGGTTCATCTGGAGTCCATCTCCTTAAAGTACAACCCCACAGCCCCAGGGAAGTACTTCAGCCGTCTGAAGTCACTCTCAGCAATCCTAACTCAGCAATCCGATTCCCAAACTTTTTAATTGATGGAATACAGGAAGGTGGACTTAGAGCAGTTCAGGGGCTATCTCGATGACCAGATGAGTGACCGGAACCAGCTAGCAGGGTGGGGTCTTTCCCTAGCAGGATTGAACCAATCCTGTGGGAAAACTGGCTAGACTTTTCAGTGAAGTCTAGCTTGGGGTTGGGGGGGGGGGGGTGTTCAGCTGCCTGGCTCTTCAGCTTCTCTCCAAAGCCACAAGAGTAACCCTGTGCTGGGGCTTAGGGATGTTCAGACGACCCTGTGAGCAGGGTTTCAGGAAGAGGCCCCATCTGCCTTTGCCTGTGCGCACTGCGCACTCTGCCTCCGCCCCAGTACATGAGGCTCAGCCATTCCAACAAGCTTCAGCTAGTCTCGGGTTCAGTCTCAAAGCTGTCCCTCTTCTATTTCCAGAGGGTAAAGATAGAAGTGGCCATAAATGACCGGTTTGGTGTCTGTTCTCCTGAGGTTTACTAGGTCTTAATCTCTTTTCTTTCTACACAGGTGGTCCTAAGAACAAT